AATAAAATTTACATAAATAGAATAAATCTCGTACAGATATTGGTGTAGTAATTTAAAAAAATCATTATATCATATAAAATATTATTGAAAAATATCGAGATAAAAATCTTTAGAAAATAATGGGTAAAATAATCGCTCGAGGAAATTCGTATTAGCTTTAGTAACTTTAGTTTAAAAAGTAAAGTTGAAAATATAATGAGAAAAATCCTAGAAATGCTTTGCAGAATACCGTACAGATAAATGAGAGATATGATAACTAAAACATTGTTCGAAAACAATACGCAAGATGCTTCATACTGGATATAAATGCAGAAACAAAGAAAATTCTTTATGGGATTTTCATTTCTGTTGTGCGAGATTCATTTATGTTAATTAATATGTAAAGTGAAAAACAAAAACTCTTATAAAAATAAACAATTTGCTAGTATTTTCCATAAAGATACGGTTTATAGTAACTATGTCTTTTATGTCCGCCTATATACGAAATTCCGCATACAATATCATATGCACGGAGAAAATTAAATTGAAATAAATTATATGGATTATAATTATATGGATTATATAAGTATACATAACAAATAAATAAAATCTTAAATTTTGTTTTTGTAATTGTATAAATTCTCACTACAAATTCCGTTTATTTGGAAAATGCCATTGGTTTTCAATGTTTGACGTGTCTTCATAAGAGGGAAACAAAATGCGACTGAATTTGAAAAGAATTTCTACAAAACTTACTATAATTTCCATGGATATCCAAGGTTATGATTTTTTATCACAATGGGACTGTGACGAATTTTTGACAATTGATGAGAATGTAGAAGCATAAAACAACATAAAAAATGTTTCATATTTAGAAATCGTAGCATGAAAAGCTCCAAAAACATACTATATGAAAGGAAAAATAAACGGTTCTTTCCTGGATTTTTTTTTTTAATTTGGATAATAAAAGCTCTTTACTTTTATGAGAAAGAGAAAGAAAGAAAGAAAGCAAGAAAAGAAATGGAGTTTTGTTTTAATGTTAATGTAAGAGTAATCTAAAAGTGATTTTTAAACATAAAAAACAATGATTTATTCACTCAGACTCTTTTCGACAAAATGTCATGCTTTTACTGTAAATCCTCATATATTTTTAAAATTAATTATTTTTTTTCTAAAAATATGATAGCGATAAGTCATCAGATTATATGCATATAACAACGTTATTAGAAATTTCATTTTCTCGACTTATAATATTGACATGTACAAAGAAATTTCTGAGTAAGACCATTCTTAAATTAGCTAAAAATGCTCTCTCATTAATGAAGATAATCAAGGAAAGTGTGAGGGATAATGTAAAATCCTGAAAAAAATAAATCATTATAATTGATTATAATGAGTATTCTTATTACTTAAGATTATTGGAGTCTTCTTTTTCTTTTCCTCAATTTTCGTTCTGACAAAAGTGACAATGATTTATAATAATATTGTAATTGTTGTTATAAATGATTGTCAGAATAAAAAACGAGAAAAAGAAAAAAGACTCCAATAATCTTAAATAATAAGAACATTCTGGTTGAAAATTCTAAACAAATCCAGAACAAATACAGAGATGAGATATGTATTTATATATGATTTTTTTGAACGCAGCATGTACTGTATAATAGAAATTCTACGATTTTTACATATATTTCATATATATATATATATATATATATATATATAT